TACATTACGAGTATGGCCATGTTAGCCCATGATAGTTGCAGAAGGAAAAAATGAGTTACAGAGTGGTTCGCTTGGGCCAGTACGGCACCGGGTGCCAGCCACGCCTCCCCAGGTTTGGGGCGTGACAGAAGTGATCTATTATTTTGACCACGGTCAGTCCCTCCGTCAACGGTGAACTTATTTGTTGCTCGAAAATTTCTGCCACGGTCTTCGGTACGCTCGTAGGGCAAAATCTGACCCCTCGTAGTCCGCCTATCCGCGTCGTATTCATCCTTTGATTTTTCTCTATTCTTCTCCTGTCCTTTGGCCGATGATGTAAAACCGACCTGGTCATCTTCGATCCTTATCTTCGACTCGTACCGGTTGTGAACATCTGCCCAAGTTGTTGCTTGAAACTCAAGCAGGCTCTCCTTCAGCTTCCGGGAAGCGTCTAAACTTCTCGAATTCAATCCTTTGGTGAATGCTTCAGCTGCCCATTCATCCGGGACGGTCGGGAACAACATTCTTTCTTTCTGGAACCGGGTGACAAACTCTCGTAACAATTCTGATTCTCCTTGTGTGATTCTGAATATGTCGGCCTTCCGGGTTTGTACCTTTTTGGACCCGGCGTGAACTTTAATAAAATAATCCACGAGCATCTCAAAGGAATCTATGGAATGCTCGGGCAGTAATGAATATAACGTTAGGGCTCCCCTCATGAGGATTTTGCCGAATTTCTTTAGCAACACAGATTCAATTTCGTGAGGAGCTAGATCATTTTTTTTCACCGTCGTTGTGTAAGTGATAATATGTTCCTGTAGGTCTGAAGTTTCATCATACTTTGGAACTTCAGGCATTTTGAAACGCTTCGGGATCAGTACTGGTGCCGCACTTGGCTTGTACGGTAATTAAACATTCTTCTTCGAGTTCGGACCTTTCAATACTGGTGGTGCGCCCGGGATTTGATACTTGTGGGCGTTCACTTCCCTCATGGACCGTAAAAGCTCATCTTTGAATGAGTCGTTCTCGTTATTAAGACCTGATCTACTCCCCCAGCCCCATCGGAGCCAACTTCACCCCTGGGAGTGTTGTTATTAATTCTCTGTGTTGTTTGGTCTGCGGGAACAACGGGAGGAATCGGATCGCGCATGTTCGCATTATTTGAAGCACCTGATAGCGCCTGTTTCAGTTTCATCATAACCTGATCCTACCGCGTAAGATGGTCTAGAATGATTGCTTGTTGCTCTTGCAGGATACTCACAGCATCCACTACTTGCTCCTCGTCAGCATCATCGGGAGTTCTTTCCCGAACCTATTGAGGGTACCGCCTGTCATGCACCGGCGTGTCATTCCCCTCATTGCGGGTGTCACTAATTGAGTCCTTGAAATGAGGTTGATCCTCTCAAATTTTGAGATTGTGTGTATCGTTAACAGTGTTATCTACCATTTTTTGTAATTTTTCTAAGACAAAAATAGTCAAAACACGTTAGTAAAAGAGGCAAGGATCAATTTAATTTCACGGTTGTCTAGGCCACACAGTAGGCGTCAAACTGTTTATCCGTAAAATGGTACAATTGAATTTATACGTGGTTTCTAGACAAGTGAACTAATTTGATCCTGAAATAATATAATAATCGAAGAAATACACAATACTTAACCTTAGAAAATAGATGAAATAGCAAAGACGACGATTCCGTGAATTCGGTTCCTGAACACAGCAATGATGAGATCTAAAAGCAAGAAAGTGAAATTGTACAAAGCTTTGTATAGAATATAGTATATATTCTTCCCAGAAATTTTGTCTCCCTTACAATGCTAACTGAGCTCACTATTTATAGCTATGTCTAGGGAAGAAGGTCCTAGGATCGTGCCCTCCTTTAATGTCAATTATGAGGGTCATTGATGAAGATGTAACGTTGAGCATAAATGCCAAATTCTTTGTAACGGACCGTCGCTCTTAATGCTGTAGAATATTCCTTAGTAAATGCTACCGGGCGCAGAGTATTTAATATACCTTTTATGAACGTTATCCGTTCCGGTGACAAGCGCAGTGGTTGTGTTCGGTCCTTAGCCATTCCATCTTGGATTCCACGTGTCCTCCTTTTAGTCAGCCACGCGCCATATCGTATTTTACTCTATACACCAATAACAGGAGAGTGCTATTTTCTTTTGTATTTCATTAATTTCTATACATCGATAGTGTAAAAAAAAATTGCATATCTTATTAATTATTACGCCAAAGGAAATTAAAACTAACTACTCATAATCAGTGAAATTTAGTAACTTGAAAACCAAGTAAATAACTTCTTGCATCATGTTAAATTGCACTAATTGTGTATTAATTCATTTACACTACGGACGAATATAATATAAATACTTAAATGGGGAAATTCTCTTGTGTGCTTGTCAATTCTTTACCTGCCGTGAAATGTAGAAGTGTCTAATAATTGAAATTGCACTATCTTTGCGTATCATTTGTGCTGGCAAAATGGTTAAAAGTAAACAGTTAACTATCCATATTATTCATTAAAAATGGATTGGATAATGAATTTTTTAAAAATAGGTCAAATATAAATAAGAACCATATTATTCATTTGGAAAATGGATAGTGAACCAATGGATAATTAATGAGTTTAACTTTTATATTTGTAAAGCCTCAAATTTGGGATTCCTCAAGTTTGGGAGACTATAAATTCTCCCAAAAGTGATCATATTCAAAAAGTTATGGATAATACGGTTACCCATATTATCCGTCTGTTAACCCGTTTTCTATCCATATTAAATATGGGTCGGATAGAATAATTTATCTGTTTTTTCATTACTCACTTTCGACCTGTCTTATATCCGACCCGACCCGCCCGTTTGACACCCCTGCTTATCACTGATGCAGGGTACTGTTATATGATCTAATGCCATACTAGCAGCTCCACTATCAAATTAGTTTTGTTTCAACTAGAACTTTTGTCATATCAAACTTTATGATTTAGTTTGTACCAGTTGATGCTTTGTGTACTATTTTGGACGTATAAAAAATCTACTTGAGTGAATATCAGCCTTTACTTTTATTTCATTTCTTGAATCTTTTTTATAGTGGTAAACTCTGTATAAATGCATGAAATTAAAGATTTGAATCAAATTTAGTATAGTACTTTAGCAAATACTAAAAGACATGCTGTATTGCCCAGGTATTCAACTGAGTGACTCGAGCTATTACTTGAGATGCATGTGGTCATTCTACATTCATTAGGATTGCCAAGAAAACGTGAACGAACTTAGCAGACGTCAGCGGATTCAGAATTAAAACTTCATCGATTCAATTTTTAAAATTATTAGCACTAAACTCATTGTATTTTGTAATTATGAGTTTAGAATTTAATATTTGTTGAAATATTAGTAATTTTTTATTTACACATCTAAATATGTTCAGTATCATGACTGATGAAAGATTACGTGATCACGCCCACCTCTAGTCCTAAAAAGGATAAACGGTCGTTGCAACTATAATTCGATTTAAGAGTCTGGAGTGAAATCCCACAGAAAATTAAGGTTTAACTACAACTATTCACTATCACCAAGAAGACAAGTTTGAATAATTCCTAAGTTATAAATATTAAGATTTAAATTTTAACTAATTAACTAACATATTAAAGTAGTAAATTAACAACTAAAGATACTAAGGGTTGGAGACAAGATTAAGAAGGCCTAGAGTTATGCTTTCACCAATTATCCGAATCCTTCCCGATATGTCTCCTATAATTTCGCATAAGTATTCTCTACTGATCATGAGCACTTCAGGTATTATAATTCTCTCCCGAGCAACTACAACAATTTACTAGACATATTCTCCCCAACTACGTTAGCTGGCACTATTTTACTGCTTACTGTGACCATGTCAAGGCTTTGTTATTCCTAAACTCATCTTTAAACCCGTTGTGTTGATTCCTCACATAGGTTAGTAGTGACGTTGTTCAATAACCACCAAAATATTTACCCTTTCCCAATCAATACATACTAAATAGGCATGGTCAATTGATGTCCATTCAATCAACATCAATAAACACATAGTTGAACAAGTAGAGAAATCCAACAGCTCAATTATATAAGAATATACAAGAATTTATCCTACAAAAGGTTCCATCAAAACCCTAGATAACAAATTAGCTATTCATAATAGTATGTAAAGCAACAATACTAAAATTCATAACCAATAAAGGAAAATTAGAAGAAGAAAGGAAAGACTTGTTGTCGAATCTTCCGCCTTGCTCCTAGCGTATTCTTCCTCTCCAAAGTCTTCTATAACCCTAAAGTAGTGTCTCTCCCTCCAAAGTTGTGTTAAAATTATGTTTAGAGTGTATTTATATGACCTAGGTAGGGTGGAGGGTCGTCCAATGCAATCTAAAATCGGATAGGAGAACTGGAGGGCGCGTTAACTTTCATGCAGCACGCGACCATAGACGAGCTCCCAACTCTTTTATTTTTTGTTCCGCGAAGCGATCCATGACTTAACCATACTTCACTGTTTTGCATCACAGCTGTCTCATCTGGCGTGTCTGCCCTCGCGCGAGGCACGTGCATAGACGAGCTCCCAATTTTCTACCTCACTTCCGTTTTACGCTTTTCTTTTTCTTTTACTCTACTTTCATTCGAACTCGTTCTTACACATAAGAAACATAGAATTAGTATATTTCACTTCAAAAATCATGTAATCTCCGCAACTCACATGACAAATGAGATCAAGACACACTCAAAAACATAAACTTTTGATCATTTATCATTACGTCCGCCTCTGTTAAATGTACCTTCGTTGCTAGAAATGATTAGAAAATGATATTATCGTAACATAAAGTAAAAGCATTGTGATTTAAATGAAAGTCAAGAGTCAAAATATTGGAATGTAATAGTAATAGCTTATTTCATTTCCTAGACAGTAATACTACTATCCAACAAATTCCAAAAAATTTCTACCCTCAATTTTGGCTCACTTCCATGACAACGCAATCCCATAAATGTATAAGAACACGTCAATAGGTAATCTGACAAATTATCCATTAAAACATTGGAATATTTTACTTATACACATTATCATAATAACTATACTTAAACAAAATTTACAAAATTTATTTTAGCTCAATATAAGAAGGAAGCATTGGATCAACTGCAAAGTTGTTTCTATGTAATATATAAGTCTTGGGTTCGAGGTATGAAATCAGCCCGAGGTAGATTGCTTACATTACATTTCCTTTGGGTATGTCTTTTTTTCGCACCTGCTTAACGCGTGATGCTTCGCAACCAGACTGCCCCTATTTTAGCTGAACAATGCTTCGTAACCGGACTGCCCCTATTTTAGCTGAACATCAGTAATATCAAACCAAATTTGCTTGAAAACCTTGATGATAAGATCATGATACTGATCTGAATTTAATGAAAGATAACAAGCAAGAAGTTCTTCTAAATCTCTAGATGTTCTTATGTTATTCTCTACTATCATCTCCACCATTGATTCTTTAAAATCTCTCTGTGGATCTTTAGATGATTTCACCACTGCAAAGCTTTCACCAACACTTGTCCTTAACATGTTTGTACTTGAAGAGACACTTTTTCTGCTTACAATTCTTGGAGATTTTGTTCTCAGCTTAACCCCACCATTTGATGAACTCACTGAAACTCTTCTCTTTGGACTTGTAATAGTACACTGTTCTTTTTTCACTATCTTCACTGTTAAAGATTTATGCTCTGATTTTTCTTGCCTTTTCTTTGTACAATTTGTTGAATCTTGAAGTTTTTTGGGTTTGGTCAAAATTGGAGGAAGATCAACAGAGTCAAACCCATGATCGTTCTCATTCATATCATTGTGGATTTTGCAATGACAAGATGCAGACAGAATCATGGAATCAAATATTTTAGGAGAGTGGACAGAGGATTCTTGTTCAGAAGAAAAATTAGAAGAAGATGAAAAGGGGGAATTTGGGAAATCCTCAGGAGTTGTCCAAACAGATTCAAGAGAAGCACGGCAGTTGCAGCCTGCTGAGACAGTTGAATTAACAAACCTAGGAGAAATTGATTTCCTAGTAGTGTTCCTCTTTTTCTTGGAAGATTTTTTTGGTGGCTCTGAGATATTAATGTTGTTGGGAGTTGGATTATTCTTAGGACTAAGGTTTCTTGAAAAGTAATAGGATTTTCTTTGGCATGACAAGTTGTTGTTATGGGGTTGTTGTTGTGTTTTGGTTTGTTGAAGATTTGATGATTTTGAGGAAAATATTGAAGAAGATGAAGCTGATAACGAGGATGATGATGTTTGGCTTTTCTTGGTTTGGCTTTTGCTTCTGTTTTTGCTATTGGTACTCATGTACTTGAGCTTGTAAAACCAAGCATTTGGTACCATGTCTGATAATCTAAACCTATAATTACCCATTTTTCTTTGCAATGTCTGCTTCTATTATCTCTTCTCTCTGTATTGAAGGTGACTAGACTGGAGGAGTAGGAAATATTGGAGTGAGCAAAGAAGGATAAATAGAGTGAGGTGTAGGCAGGGGGATGGTTGTGAATTGTGATCGAGAGGAACTAAAATTCAAGTTAGTAGGTGTGTATTATCTATGTACACATTATACTAATTTATAGGGTTGACGTGACAAACGAGTGGTGTGACAAATTTTAAGCGGGTCAAAACTGGTCAAATCAACAAATAGATCATGATCAACTCATCAAAAGTAGGTTGAGTCGGATATATCAAATAACCGTGTAATAACCCAACTCGTTCAATATGACTCAACATTTCTTCCCTTTTATTTTGCTTTTCAAGAAAATGTGAAAGCAAATTTATTTTTCTTAAATTACTAACTTAAGTATATCCAAGTTAAATAATTCTAGATGCCCAAATTTGAATTTTTATGTTTGGATTTGAGTGGCATTTTGACCTCTAGGGTTATACTATTTGACCTATTTTGATCAAAATAGTTTGATGAATTATTCCGAATTCAATCGGTTGTCAATTTAATAACTGAATCATAATCCAGTTCATTTCAACTTGGACGGATTAAACGAATTAATAAAAATGAGTTGATTTTGCTAAATTTAAACCGTGGATGACTAAATATATTTTCTTAAAATTTTATTTAACCATATATCCATCAAGTCAAAAATAATGCATGCAACCAAACGTGCATCCGTCCATGTTAATAGGGTCCACAAACAAAGAAAATGTGTCAATAAAGCATATAGAATACGGCCAAAATGTTAAGAAGGTGTGGAAGATTTTTCCTACTTGTTCTTTTATTTTATATTATGCCGAATGGCCAAATCATCACCTTGTCAAAGTTAAAGAAAAAGTTTGGTTCTTCCTCATTATTATGTTTGTGTATAAATTGTAAAAAATGGTTCCTATCCCTAAAGATTCTCCCCTTGTCTTAAGCTGACTTTCAAGACCATAACGAACAAATTGGCATTAGTTTATTTGGAAAATAATTTACGGATTAGCCACTTTTCGGCTCGATTTTTAAAGTATATTCTGTTTAAAATTCGTTAAAAAATGTAGCTACTTTTGATGAAAAATATTGTGTTATGGATTTCGAACTTAAATAAGTAAAAAAACTAGAACACTGTCATGAAGTGTCACCTTTTTTAAACTCAAATTCACAATACCGTCATGGATTCCGAAAAGTGACTATTCTCAGTGACTTTTCATATGCAGCTATTTTTCAATTTCAAGTCCAGAAAATGGCTATTTTTGAACTTTCACATTAATTTGCACCCAAGACTTTCACTAGTTTAATTTTATACTATGTCCCGTACAGTTCTAGTTCAATTACTTTGACCCGATGAAGTTTAAATATCGTAACTTTCGCCCTATCCAGTTAGAAGTTCACATATTATGAACTATGACCAAGGAAATTATTAAAATTGAACATGTGCTATTTTATTTTTAATATTTTTATTTTGGTGAAAGCAGTGTTCTTAGTACACCAAAAACTGTTGACTTAATTTAAGTTTAAATGAGTCGCGTAATAAACTAAGTAATACATAGATTCAAGTTCAATTATCACATGTTTACTCGTATTTAATTTGATTGAGAGATGGAAGTTTGGTTTCGTGTAGCTTCCTCATTAAAATAACATAACTAAGATTTCATCGGGGAAACAACCTCTTGTAAAAATGCCAGATAATATTGCGCGCAATTGTCACGATCCAAAATTTTTACCTTCGGGACCGTGATGACGCCTAACATTTCACTTGCTAGGCAAGTCAACGTTAGAATAATCTTAACTATTTTTAAACAAATCAAATTAAACGGATGTCAATTACTGACATAAAGTGTGGAAGACCATAACAACCGAATCATCTAAATACATCCCCGAATCTGGTGTCACAAGTACACGAGCTACTAGAATAATACAAATAAAGGCCTGAATAAAATTCAAGTTGTTTGAGAGATAATACACAGCTAAGATAAAGTAGAAGGGGACTTCAGAACTGCGGACGCTGTGCAATTATACCTCAAGTCTCATCTGGGTAGCTGAATCCGAGCAAGTCTATGGTACGCCGTTGGGACCAACTCCAAAATCTGCACAAGAAGTGCAGAGTGTAGTATGAGTACAACCGACCCTATGTACTCCGTAAGTGTCGAGCCTAACCTCGACAAATTAGTGACGAGGTTATGACAAGATACATACGTAAACAACTTGTGCAAGTATAACATATACGAAGTAATATTGAACACAGTAATTAACAAATTTTACAAATTTGGGAGGGAACATGTGAAGGAAAATGGTATAAAAATTTTAGCTAGGGAAATGTCACGTAGCAGCCAAATAATTCACCAACAACAAAATAGGTAGTTGAAATATAAAAATGGCACGACACCACCCTTCGTGCTTTTACTCTCATCCTTCCCATGAAATGATAAATAAATAATATGAATGGCACGGCATCACCCTTCGTGCTTTAACTCTCTTTCTTGCCACAGTACGATGAATAAATAATTTAAATGGCATGGCATCACCCTTCGTGCTTTAACTTTCTTCCTCACTTTATAAATTAATAAATAATAATGTGAAAATGGCATGGCATCATCCTTCGTGCTTTTACACTCTTCCTCACCATGACAATGATAATATAAATTCGGAAGAGTATTTTAAATACGGGGATCTATACTTATCAATCAATTTAATACCAGAATACCGACCTCTCCTTCCAAAATATTCGACAATAATTAAATTAGCAATAATTTCATGAATAATGATCAAATAAACAATAATAAATTTAAGCAGGAATATCTTAATTAAATAGGCAATTATTCACAATGAACAAATTCCACCTGGATGCTTTGACTCAACCACAATGCATAAGTACTCGTCACCTCACATATACGTTGTACCCGTACATAAAATCACGTAGCAAATAGACAAACACGTCCTACTCCCTCAAGTCAAGGTTAACCACGACACTTACCTCGCTTTGCAACCAATTCAAGATTCCAATAAACTTTTGCCTCGCGAATTGGTGTCTCAATGCCTCGGATCTAGTTGTCGCGCCCTTTTTTTCTCGCGAAATCGGGTTTCGACACGTGACAACTCTTTTAAAGAAAGGGTGTTAAAAGAGAGAGTCGCCACCTAACGGGTTTGAGGTGCGTTAGGGCACCTATTTGCAAATAACTCTAGTTTAACCAGTTTGCGTCACCAAAGTTCAGGTAAGGGCTCAAATTACCTCGAAGAGAAGGTGTTAGGCACTATTCGAGGTCTAAATTATGGGTCCCAGCCGAACTTGAATTATATGAATTAGTCAAATAGTCAGAGAGAAAAACGAGAAGTTTAAAAAAAAAATATTATTAGAAAGTCCTTGAGTAAACACAGATAATTGGTTTAAAGACAAGATGGGGGTCTTAAGTTTTTTAGCCTAAAGGATCACCCCGTGCAACATAAATAATACTTCATAACTCCCTCGAGGTGGGGTGTTACTCGTATTATTCAACGGGCACAAACTATCATCTCCTGCTACCCGATTACTATCTTTAAGTTTTTACCTAAAGCGGACTAGTTGATTCTAAACCGTGCCCTATGCATGCACTACCCGTCTCATGCCTATGGCCCAGGAGGCGTTTGGACCTCTATTTTGGATGGTTTCTAGACTTAGCTTAGGCTGCTCATAAATGATAAAACTAGGCGACATACAAAACAAGTTGGACTTCATGTGAAAGTAAATAAGGGCTTGAGTTAGCCTCCACACTTAGACAACAAATGCACGCGAACAAATTTTTCACATTAAGCGTTAGACAATTTCAGGATTGAGGCAAATTAAAGCCATTAGGCCCTATAGATATGGTTTCTATGTGACCTTGAGATTCGAACATGCAGGTAGTTTCAGATACAAGATGCTACCTTAGATACAATTTCTAAGTGACTACACAGTTGCCTACTAATTATGTGTTATAAGCGATTAAACCTATAGACTTGTTATCTAGGTGATTTACGCAGTAGTTGGCAGTGATAACCACGAAAGATATTCAGAATTACTTAGTTTGATCCTATAGTCATGCTTTCTAATAGTGGCAATGAAACAGTGTTGAAAGTTCAACATTAGCACTTGAAAAAAACGAGCAGGATAATAGTTAAGAGTGGTTTTAGACCCCATAGGTAGGATTTCTATAGTCATAATTGAGACTGATTTTAGATTCTATTGGCATGGTATCTAAATTGCAGATTAGGTAGCATGTAAATTAACAGGATCCTATATAGCCTAATGCATGTGCACATTGAGATATTGGTCATTTAATATCCTATAGGCATGGTTTCTAACAGGTAAAAGCAGAACACATTTGAGCAAAGTAGAGAACCTATAGGCAGGATTGCTAACGCATAATAACTGAACACATTTGAGCATAATAACAAATTTGAGCAAAGTAGAGCACCTATAGGCAGGATCTCTACCCATTTTACTGCAAGTATTAAGATAAACCCCCTTTTTCTAGTTTTACTAATACCCCAATTGTTATTACAATATTATTACAGACCCAATGAATGGCATAAATTACAGAATAAAATAACTATAGTGAGCCTACAGCAGGCCCAAAGATATACCCAGTCAGGCCAGGCCTTCATTCCCAGGGTTCACAACAGCCCAGAAATTACATCTTCATTGACATAAGGCAGCCAGAAACCAATTGATTCATCCGGTAGGTAGAAAACAGAGTTGAGCAAATAGAACCAAGACCCTAGTATGTCAGAGTTTACAAGGGCTTCAAGAACCCAGGGCAATGCTCACACTAGGGAGGTTGATAGGGGAAATTCAGAGAATGACTAAGGACCAAATCCTAGTGTGTCAGAGTTCACAAGGGTCTCAATTGGGCCCCGAGCAGTGCTTACACTAGGGAGGTCAAATGATAGAACCTAATTAGCCTTGGCTTTCAGCCGGCTAAGAATAAGAACTCAAAAGAGACCAGGCAGTAAGGGAATAGACTAAGGTTAAGGTACAACACTGAGAGATACAAGCAGATTCAAGTTGAGCACATAGAACAGGTAGTAGAACATGGTTAGGTTTTGAGAACAGACTTAACAAAGTTTCAGAAAAACAAGTTC